TAATCTTTTTTATTAATTGGACTCATATTTCCACCTTTCTTCTCTTCCTTTTCGGTGTTTGGGGGTTTTGAGGGGGGAGGGGGTATAGGCGAGATTGTATGCGGCAGTTGATTCTTTCTATTTGACCCCATATGATGGCAGTATTAATCATCAATTCATTATATCCTGTTTCTTTTAGTGCGGGACACTCGGTTACATCCAAATTTAGTTTCAGATTCTCCATATTGTTTGTGCTCCAGATGGTAATGCATATGCAGAAGAGTGAAGAAGGTTTAACACATGAAATTTGGTCTAAGTTAGAAGTTAAAAGTAAAAATATGAACATGATTTTCATGGCTATTTACGCTTAGCTGGGCATATGGATCTTGGTTGATTGGCGCTGAGGAGGTGGTGGGACCTTTTAAAGTTAACATGAGCATATGAGTTATCGGCAAAAACTCGTTCGAAAGAAGATTGAGGTTTGATTTTTGCATTTAGATAACATGAATGTTTCTTTTGTTGCTTTTTCCTGCTCTGTTTTCTAACTTTATGGAAACTCTTTGCTATGAATATGAAAATGGCTACTGTGAGGTAAGTTGTTATGGTGAGCATAACTGCAAGCTTCAAACATTCCTTGTTCTCCATTTAAAGATTCACTTTGATTCTCTGATTCTTCTTTCCCTTTTGCACATTACTTTTTACTGTGCAATTTTAAATCCAAGTCTCTAGAACTTTTCTAATTAATTTTCTTATATTCCTGTAGCCTTGTTGATATTACTGGATAATACCTGATGAATTTAGACTGCTTTTGGGGCAAGCGGTTTAACCATTGCTAGTGTAAATTTACGTATATTATTTTACCAATTGTTATTCATCGTCTTTTCAAAATTTTGTGCTTACAGGTTTTGAAGATTGAAGCTACAAGTCAATATTCATGTTTGGAAGATACACAAGCTCATTATTATTTTGTTAGGATGGTTATGTAAAACTTGACATCATGGTCAAGCTTAGGATGTTAGTAAGTTTTTTTGTTAAGGTGTTGAGCAAATATTGAAACTAACTTCACGGGATGTTAACATTGTAATTAATAACTTTATTTATATATTATATATATTTACCTTTTTAAATTTAGCTTTTTCAATAGCAATTTGATATTTATTTATAAAATAACACATACTACTTCTAGTTAATAAAAGATAAGAAATATGGTCGTTAAAATTACTATAATTATTTTAAATAGGGACCACTGTTACTTGTCTCAAAAGGATAAGTTACGACCAGTTAAATGATGGTCGCTAAAATTGTTTAACGACGGGAAAATATATATTTTTCATAATATATTTATCGATTATTAGGGAGGAGAAGAGTGGTCGCTAAAACCTTTTAACGACGGAAAAATATATTTTTTTCATAATATTTTAAGCGTCTACTGGGACGAGATATGTAGTCTCTAAAAGTATTTAACGACTAGATTTTTTGTCCGTCTCTAAAAACATTTAGCGACTAAATTTCTGAACCCGTCGTTGTTGACCTTTAGCGGCGGAAGTTATTACGACGGGGTGCGACCAGCTTTTTCTCGTCGCAGTTGGTGTATTAGGACCAGATTTAGATCTTTAGGGACCAAATTTCCCTTCCTTAAAGGCCGTTTTTCTTGTAGTGTTTAATACGTGGAATGGAAATAAATATCAATTGAGTTAATTAGTTTAGAGATACTACTGTAAGTTTAATATCTTACACCATCAGTTAAATACCTAAAAGGTGTAAAATTTCAAGTAATCATTCGTTGAGATTAACCACTTGAAAAATAAAACAATTGAGCTACAACATAGTAAAATCAATGCATTAGTAGTTAAACTCATAGTTTTATGCAACACAATCGTAACACACATTTAAAACTTGAGCAAAATATATAGGAATACTATGAATATTTTCATTATACTGAGATCTCTAACATTCTTCAGGAATATAAAACTAGGAATCTCACTAATTAAGTGGTGTCAAAAATCAAAAAAAAAAAAAAAAAAAAAAGTAAACAACTAACCATCTAGGGTTTTCTTCTTCTCTTTCCACCATTGTTGGTTAATCTTCAACTTAATAGTTACGGGGATTCAAAATATAATATATACACATAAAACAATATTGACCTAACTACACATAGTATAGTATAGTTTTTTGACGAAGACCGACACCCCTTAAACTAAGATGGCTCCGCCACTGGTAGTAGAAGAACACAGAACCCTAACACTAGTAGATGGATGTACAAGCTCTTGAGCTACATCCATAAATTCAAGTACCCCTCCTTCTCTACACTTCAATAGCAACCTTGTTGCATCTTTCCTTTTTCATCAATATTTTCACTTTAATCCCATTATTTGCATTATCAACAGCAACTGTATTGTTTTTCTTTTGCTCCTCGTGGCTAACTTCATCTTCTTTTGGATGTTGGTATTTAGGTTCAAGATCAAATTTCACTTGTTTCTTGATTTTGGGCTTCTTGTTAATATTCAGCTCATCTCTGCATATATAAGTAGTAGGAATACTACTACTTTCAATCTTGGTTTTTTTGGAGTTACTAACTCTTTCACCAAACCGTATTTCGTTTAGCAAAGAACTAGCAAATCCCATAATTATTTTTACCATTTTTAATATATATTGTACAAGGAGAAAGCTAGGAAAATTGAGAATAAAGGATTTTTTTGTAAAATAAAAGGAGTTGTAGAGAGGAGGATGAAGAAAGAGGGATAATGAATAAGTGTTTAAATAGATGAGTTAAATTTGGACGGAGTAAAATTAGGGGCATGCAGCCACAGTGATTGTGACAGTCACAAATAAATTACTAGTACTTTTGTTTTTCAATAATATATACATATGGAAGTATTTGAGCTACTCTTAATTAGGGTGGAGCTAGGCGTGGAAGGTAACTCAGACGAACCTCCATCATCGAAAATCACAATAGACATATAAGGAATTTTTTTTTAATATATATATATATATATATAGAGAGTAGATATTGAATCCTCTTAGTTTCTTCGCGTATTTTTAAAAAATAATATTTTGAATCTATTTAGTGAAAATCATGCTTCCGTCACTCCTTTTAATGTTTGTAAGTATAGAGAAGGAATGATGAAGAATAATAATCAAGTAGTCGATTCCTTGTAAAGAATGAGTCTTGTGGTCTTCAGAAAGATTTTGTGTCTTGTTCCATGACAATTCTTCTAACTTACAAACCTGTTAGATTTTTTATAATAGACTGAATTAAAGATAGTTATCAAGTGGAAGATTTGAAATAGGTAAAAGAAATTTATTAACCAATACAAAGTTTCCAGAGGCTCACGCAGGAATTAATTAAGAGGTCCTTTTATAGTCTATGTTGTTGCTATTTTAATAATTTACTATAAGTGGTAGTAAGTGAAATTGGACTAGGTCTATGTGAAAATTGAAAGTGACATGCATCTTAATTATTGATTCGAACGTAATTTTAATACGCGTTTCTGTATTGTCTTATTAATTTTATTCGAAGCAATGAAATCGAAAAAGATACATTTGAGCTATTAGTTTCACATGCTATAGATAAACTGACGAATTTTATTGGCTAATGCGATCTGAACCAGATTTATAGGTATTTTGTGAAGATAATTGAATACCACTTCCCACTAATTTGGTTATGTATTAAATGGATCAAAATTGACAATAGAAACTTCACCTAAAAGACGCTTTTAGGAAAACACCTAAAAATTTTGCTCATAATTTTCTGGAAAAAAAAACATGGACCACATGAATATACCATCCACTAAAAAACGAATTGCGTTAGGTGCATAGGAAAATGAAAATTACACCTGAACAAAATTTCTGCAACCCCTCATGTTTAAAATAAAAAAGATTTCGGTGCTAGAAAGTAGAACTACGATTTTAATGATACAGACCTAGGATTCTAGCTAAACGCAACCTAATTTTCACTCCAACGACAATTGTTAAAGATAGTGCTTAGAGGTTGGTGAAAGAGTAATTATATTGTGGCGCATATATTCCCTATTAGAGCTTTATTACAGTGATACCCATGCTCAAGCAATAATTCAATTCAGATGAAGATGAAAGTCTTTGGAACTTCATCATCTAAAAACATTCAAAATTCAATTCTAGCTTTGCGTGTGTTTTTTGAACTTCATTTGCGTCTTACAGAAAAACTGGAAAGTAGGTGTATTCTTTTTCACTACACGCTTGACATCTCCAAAAATTCTTTGATACTGTTCTGAAAAATGTAGTGCCGCAGTCCTCCCTGGGGCCTAGATGCATGTGTTTCAAAGTCTACCCGACACAAAATAGACACAGAGATATCCAAGTGATATCTTTCTAGGTTATCACATTACTCTTCCTACTTCGGTCTCACAGAACATAGGGAATAATACATAAATGTGTTATTACTCCTAAAGAAATTTTTGTTCTTCACTCTGTGATCAGAGTGCTGAAACATAAAAAGAGAATAACATTAAAAAATCTAGTTCCTCTTCATTTTGTCTCCCCTAAAAGTAGAACAAAGTGGTAAAAACAGTTCATTGGATCAAGTAAAACAAAATCAGATAAATTAACTAACTACGTCTTTTATGCTTAACAAGGTGGATTGCTCTGATGGTAAGCACCCTCCACGGATGCCGAGGGTCTATTGGAAACATCCTCTCTACCCTAGGGTAGGGGTAAGGTCTGCGTACACACTACCCTCCCCAGACCCCACTTGTGAGATTATACTGGGTCGTTGTTGTTGTTGTCTTTTATGCTTAACAATGGTGCTTTTTTCTCATTGCATTGTTTAAAACAAGAGTGTAAGGGAGAAACATGACCCAATAATTCAGGTGTAAATTTGTTGATGTAAGAACTTACTGGTTCAAACTTCTTGCTAACTATTGCATATAAGAGTGGGAGAAAATGGGACAAAAGATATTAAACAATTCATAAAGAGAAAAGAATTTGCATAGGAAAAAAAAACATAAGAACTGAAGAAGAAATCAAGGAACTGTATCTTAAACTTTTTCGAAATGAGGCTCTGGACTTATTAACTGTTACTTGTGAGATTCTGGACATATTAACTCTTATAAATCATAATGAGAGTCTCTTACCTTTACAAATGGAGTACGTCTATGGAAAATGTTGCATTTGAAAATTATTTAAATAGAACAGTGGACCCAAATAATGATACATCCTATTGACTATAAATTTGATATTCTTTTGAAATCTAAAGTTATTTTCCAAGAAAATCTCACCATATGGATACTGCAACTTTAGAGGGAACTCCTACGCACAGCTGGCATCAGCAAATAGGTTTTGCAACTCCAGCTTTCACAAAGATAGTCAAGCATATCATTGCAACTCCAGCTATTAAAGTATAATAAAATTTACTATTGAGTACGTAACCAAAGTATTCAATGACTTTTCTAGCTGAATAAATCAATTGACTGTTTTAAAATAAGAAAGACAGTGGTAGAAATATAAGTTGTGGCATCTCATTTTTATTATTCCACCCAAACATTCAGTCAAGAAGCCAGAAGCAACAACAATTACATCAAAACCAGTTAAGTATATTGTCAATATTAAACTTTGACATTCAAAATTTAGTCCAGAAAGAGTGACATAGAGAAATGCACAACGGATGCTACCAGCTAATACAATGTGATTCTCACCTCATAGAATCTGGTGGCTACAATGTTTAAACAAAAGCCCAAGCACTCTCGTACATCTCTATTGCAGCATCATCTATAATCTCTACTCTACAACTACCTTACGCTCAGTGGCGGATTCAGAATTTTAAAGTTGTGGTTGCTCGCCGATTAAAATTCTAAAAGAAGTGAAAAAAAGAGTTTAGTTGTGGGTGCTCACTCAATTTTTATCTAAATATTTTTATAGTTGCCTATGCAAATTTACTAAATATGGTCAAAGTTAATGGGTGCTTTAGCACCCACAAATGCCTAAGTAGATCCGCCACTGCTTACGCGTTTCATCCAATTCTACTTCTGAAAGAATTGAAAAATCAATTTAGTTCGGATCAGAGTGGCCTTCTATATCATATACCAAAGACATTAACATTTAATCCTTCTTAGGTATAAATCCAAGAAAAAAGGAAATAAAAGTACTACTCATCGAGAAAAAATCCATCTAAATCATAACGTTTTGAAAAGAGAAAAAAAGAAGGTATACCAACTGACAGAAAAGTATCTAATAATGCAGATACCCCTTTCATTACGCATTTGTCACGCCGTAAGAGCTGCCGCCGATTGATGAAGCCACATGGTACATGAAGCCGTCCAAAGAATAAGAAAAAGAATAGATACACCCATTAATATTTTATTGAAAAGTTCAAGAAGTTTGCGATATTTCAAAAGCAATAAACACTCCAAAAAAAAATCATAAGTATCCGTTGAAAAATATGAGAAATCCATTTTATTTCAAAAGCGTCAAAGACCCGTAAGGAGGTAACAATTAGGGAAAAAATAAAAAGAAGAAAAAGCATAAGGTCTTAACATCTTTACTATTTATATCAGCTTATATTTGGTTCTATTTTCCAGAATTCCAGCACTTGCGAATCCAGAAAATCATCTTCCAAAACCATAATAAAAAGACCACCATTTTTTACATTGAAGAGCTTCAAGTTTTACCCCCAAATAGTCAAATTAAATAGGAAATAAGGCTACCTATCTATATCATCAATCCATTCCTTAACTGAATTTGAAGAGACATTTTAAAATTCAGAAAGAAGTCTAAGGCAAATGAAATTACTACTATGATATGTTTCTTTAGAGTTATCTACTCCCCTCCATTTTATACATAACAAACCTTTCTCCTTTTATTTCTTCTCTGTATTTTTTAATTCAAAGTTCCCATCTTTCATTTCCTATATAGACAAAAAATGTCGAACGGAGACCATATATGGAAAGACAAAATGACAAAAGATCAAGGAAGAAAGATAGAAGAATAATAACCACATCAACCATGAATTTAAGTAATAAAACTGGGAAATTCGAAGAAAACCTGAAGAAGATTGGCAAACAATTGGGAGGAAAACTGACCTGAAATTGCAGCACCCATGTGAGAAAATGAATAGAACTCAAAGAGAAGTCTTTGGAAGACTGAAGAAGGGCAATGATGTTTCTTGAAATTCTAATTGGGTTTGTTGTTTGAAATAAGACAACATTGAGTGAGAACACGTGACAGAGTTAAATGTGCACATTTATGATTGAATTAAATTTATAAAAATGCCCTTGGTCGACCAACTTCTCTTTTCTATATAATAAATATAATTCCAACAATCTATTGTTATTTTTATCATTTAATTTCGGATTGGAGATGAAAATTGGGGAAAAATTAGAAGAAAGTTCTTAGACCTAGAATTCGAGTTTTGACTGGGTATTCGATATTGGATTTGAATAATTTTAGTATGGTTAGACTCGTGAGAGTATGGGGATTCTGAAAATGTAAATACCCGATTCCGAGTCGGGGGCCCGGAGGGCGTTTTGGTCATTTTACCTAATTTCGTGTATTAGCTTAGAATTTAATTGTAGAATCAGTTACTTGAAGTGTTATTTACATTATATAATTGAATTGAATAGATTTGGGCCATTTGGAGTCGAGTACTCGTGGCAAGAACGTGGTTTCGGGTTAATTTTGAGCCGGTTCGAGGTAAATGGCTTGTCTAACCTTGTGTGGGTGACATTCCCCTTAGGATTCGTATTGTGATAATTGAAATGCCTTGTACGTGAGGTGACGAGTGCGTACTTGTGCTAATTGTTGAAAATCCGATTTTCACTGAAGTAGCTTTAATTGTATTTTTCATTTCTTGCTTATATTACTTGGGATTTAAGCCTGCTGTTAGCTTAGAGAAGCATGTCTAATTGACTTAATTATTTTATTTGCTTAAACTGCCTTATTTGTGTTATGTGAAGCACGTTAGGTTAGAATTTCCTGTTTTTGCCTTGGAATGAAGTTGAACTTAATTGAGAATTCCTTGTGTTATTGCTGTGTGTTTTACTTTGGGACTACGGGACGGCATCCCGGGAGACCCCCTGTACGTATTATTGATTTGAACTGAAGTGCGGGATACCGAGAGGTTCCCAACGCGTATATTGAGGATACCAAGAGATCCCTAGTACATATTGAGGATACCAAGAGATCCTCGGGATACCAAGAGATCCCTAGCATAAATTGAGGATACCAAGAGATCCTCGGGATACCAAGAGATCCCTAGTACATATTGAGGATACCAAGAGATCCCTAACATAAATTGAAGATACCAAGAGATCCTCGGGATACCAAGAGATCCCTAGCATAAATTAAGGATACCAAGAGATCATCGGGATACCAAGAGAACCCTAGCATATATTGAGGATACTAAGAGATCCTCGGGATATTGAGAGATCCCCGGTTATTATCTCTGTGAATGATGGTATTCCTTGTGATTGTTTTTGTCTCTGTTTCAGTTGTTGTTATCCTTATTATCCTGTATTTTTTCTTACTGTTAGCTTTCAACTGTACTGTTTATTCTTATTCTGTTATACCTTATATTTCATTTAATCTCAGTAGGGCCCTGACCTTCCTCGTCACTACCCGACCGAGGTTAGGCTTGGTACTTACTAAGTACCGTTGTGGTGTACTCATGCCCTTCCTGCGCATGTTTTTGATGTGCAGATCCAGGTACTGCGACTCAGACTTATCACGCTTGAGGCGAGGCGCTTGTAGAGACTCCGAGGTATATCTGTCGCGTCCGCTGACCGAAGAGTCCCTTTCTACTCTTCCCTTAAGTATTAGCCCTTCTGTATTTCCTTTCTTTGTTAGATATTCTGGAGTTAGATACTTGTAGACATTCAAAAGCTTGTGATCATGAGATTCCGGGGTTTGGGAAATGTTATTTGTTTCGAGAGTTAATATTGTGTATGCCGAGCGGCATTTCAAACACTATTTTATTTCACTATTTCGGTTTTTAATTATTTCTTCCGAAAATGTTATTTATTTTCCGCATTGTTAGGCTTACCTAGTTGTAGAGACTAGGTGCCGTCATGATGGTTCACGAAGGGCGAACCGGGGTCGTGACAAATGATCACTTATCTAAACAAAAAAAACGGATCCATCAGGTTAAGTTATAGTGAACATGGAGTTATTTGTATTTGTATTGGTGAAAAATACAAATAGATTGTGAGAAAATAAATATAGATAGTAAAATGATTGAAGAAAGCACAAACTAGTATTATATTATTAAAATAATAAATAAATATAAATTACTACTTTTAGTAGGATTACTTCACAAATGATGTATAACAAAAAAAATTGATTATCAAATTACTCAAATAAATAAATATGATTATCACACCATTTCTCAATCAAACAAAAATAATATATCAAAAAATATCATTGAAATAACGGTGGGTCAGGTCCTAACGAATCAGGTCAGCAGATTTTGGTTGGGTCCGGTTATTCATTATTTAAGAAAGACAAAATAGTGGTTCCGTTAAACTAAGGGCATGAATGAGTAAGTATTGGACGGATTGGGCATATCTGTGCCAAAATATTAACGACGGACATATCTGTCCTAATTCGCATAGTTCACTGGCATATATGGCCCTTTTCCGTTAATTTAATAGTAATGGACAGGAGGCATCTTGGTTGCTTCAGTCACGATCCCATGTACTTTGCTAAAGAATATGCTTTTGAGCTATTAGGACTTTAACCAAAAAGAAAAAAATACTTTATATTTGTATTAATTTATATGATTCATTTTATTTCGTTTGAAAAGGAGTAATACATTCCTATATTAAGAAAGTATTTAACGGTAAACTTTCAATTTTTTTTGAAGGTGAGAAATAAAGTAGTAAACAGTATAGGATGACTTAGACTTGCATTTTATTTGAAAAAAAGATGAAGTTTTGTAAGTGGAATAAAAGTTTTCACCAAAACTACCCTAAACGAGATTTTGGTAACTTGAAAAAAAAAATTTAATTTTTTTTTTTCAAAAACTAATCATATTCCACTAACAAACAATATTTTCAAATTTTTTTGAAAAAAAGTTACCAAAATCTATGACCAAATGGGAGCTTAATTTTGGTTATTTTTTGAGTGATCCTATTTCTAAAGTCCAATGAGCAGGTGGTATATATGGTTATTTTTATTGAATAAAATTTCTGATTTTCATTGAAAAAAAAGAGAAGAAAAAAGCTTTCAATTTAACTTTTAATGGGGTAATTTAGATCACCAAATTTTAAATGTCTTTCATCCTATCTTAGTTTCCATTCTAATCAAAATCATCACATGAAATGGAACAAAAAGTAATATAATTAATATAAATGAATTATAAAAACGAAATTAAAAAAAAACTTTTTAATATAAAAAATAGGAACATAACCCTTTGTTGGCGTTTCCTTGTTCCATCATCAAAGCATACTTGTCATATTTTAAAAACAGAGTTCGTCAGCAACACAGTCTACTACTCCTCCTCTTGGCATTTTAGCTTTAAGTATAGAAGAACCCTAACTATCGGAGTAGATCTAAATCTCTTTTATTAATTTTGTGTGTCGAAAGAAAAAGATGGATGAAGAGTACGATGTGATAGTGCTTGGCACAGGCCTCAAGGAATGTATCCTCAGTGGTCTTCTCTCTGTTGATGGTCTTAAGGTTTTTTCATTTATGATTTCTGATTCTTATTAAATAGTATATATTATTACTTACAGTTTCCGCCTTTGGATTAGCTTAACGATGTTTATCTACTTTTGATTTCTTTGAGATCAGTTTCTTCCTTTTGTTTGATCTATCTTGTGGATTTTCAGTTCTTTTTTGGAATTTTTTTTATCCCTCAGTTTCTTTGTGCTATCGCATTTACTTTTCAATGGTTCATCACTTGCCATATCAGAATCCCTTTCTTCATGAGTTTCACATGTACTTGCCATAATTCAATTCGAGCTTAACTTCTAGGTGTAAAAGATACTTACACAATCAGGTCATTTTTAAGGTAATTACAAGTAAAGAAACCCGATAAAAATGGTAACGAACATGTAATAAAAGATAACGACAACAACAACAACATACCCGGTATAATCCCACAAGTGGGGTCTGGGGAGGGTAATGTGTACGCAGACCTTACCCCTACCGGGGAGGTAGAGAGGCTGTTTTCAATAGACCCTTGACTCAAGAGAAGGTGGAAAGGAAGAAAAGGGAAGAAGAAGAAGAGGGGG